CATCTGTATCCCCTTTTTTTGTTTAGTTCCGTCATTTGATTATAGGTGTGTTAACTCAGCAAAATATTCTAAAAGAGTCCAGTAGCCCATAATAGTATTGGGTCTTCCGCTTGACTGGCAATGTCAGAAATTGTTGACCAGAGTCCCTTACAGCTCAACATAACACCATGACTTTACTTCTTATACTTTGTTTTTATACTTTTGTGCTGGATGGTTAAGACCAAGATAAAGCAAGACCTATGCAATAAGAGTTGTAGATTTTGGATCTGATAAGGTCAGTCAAATCCCTTCAGGATTTATCCTGAGATCCTGTACCTCAGATTGTAGATCATTTGTCAGTGTCAGCCATGTGGATGAGTCATGGCCATTGCTTGGCCAATATGCTGTCTGTGAAAGCCTGAGAGAATGTTTTCTCTCCATGTGACTCTCCTTAGGCACACTCTACATCATTGATCACTTTCCTCTTTGACTCCATAATCTCCTTGATCAGAAAATTTGGGACACTACTGAGTTACATGATTTTACAGTACAAATTCTCATATGTGCTGCGTCTTAATTGACCTTGGAAGACTAGGGCCAAAATATTGGCTTTCCTTGTGGCCCTCCTTTTTCTCTAATTTTGGTCTGAAAACTGAGGTTGTTAACCCTCCAGAAGAAAAGTTTATTGTTATTACCATACAACCTAGGCTGTTAAGCTGTTAAGCTTAACTGAATTTCTGGTATTTTGACTATGATGTATCACATGGCTGGTTCTTTTCTGGTCATATCTACTTGGCAATTTAAATGTCCTTATTTAACATTTCTTTGGTACTTTTAAATTATTTTCTTCCTTTCTTGCTGCCATTTCCATCATTATTATGGTGTTTTTGTGTTGAAGGCTGTAGATCTGATATAATAGAAAGCTCTATCACTAATGATGTGTTGTGTCAAGGATAGCCTACCTCAAACTGTTGAGCTCCTACCAAGACTTTGCTTTCCAGATGTCCTCTAGTGTTAGCTACTGTCTTGCTCACAAATGTGAACTCAATACCCATCACAGTTTTCTCATACACTGCGTTCTCCACTTGGAGGAAACCTCATGCTTCATTGGGATGGAAAGAACCACATGCTAAATCCACAATTTCTGTGGCACTTGATCTGATTGACCAGTCCTGTCTTCCCTTCCTGCTCAGGGGAAATCTCATAAGATCCATTTGGATCAAGCACAGTGTCCAGAAAATTCTCAGGGATTTTGCAGTGTTAGTCACTGTTCTCCCACACAAATCCAAGTGTCATACATCATAGTTTTCTTCTACTTTGAACTCCTTAACACACAGCCTCCTCACACAGCATTGAGATATCAAAAATGTATTTTAAATTTATTTAACTATTGCCTATTTGCCTCCCACTTGAAATGTTTAATAAAAGCATGTGTTTTTCTGTTATTGCTATTTCCTTAGTGTTGGAGAATGCCAGAATCAGTATATGATAAACATCCCTTATACAATAAGTGCACATTATAGATAAATGTACATAGTAATAGAAGCAATTATAAGCCATTGTAATTACCAACTGAAGTACAAAAACATGAATGAATAAGGCAGTATTTGGTTATCAGCAAATCAAAAAGTAATGTAAGTAGAAATAACTGCATACAGGTGAGTTATCCCTCAACCTAAAAACTAAGTGCTCAAAATTCCAAAACCTTCTGAGCCCCTAAATGATGCCACAGTGGAAAATTTCACGCCTGATGCAATATATTGAGTTGTAGTTTAAGCAGAGGTACATTAAAAACATAGTATGAAATTACCCTCAGACT